AAAAATACCACCACAAGGAATTAATTTACACGTAATTCACACATAATAAAACACATATTTACAGCCAGACTTTGCTAGCTTAATACTTATAATAATAATTAATAATAATTATATCCTGCTGAGCAAGCATCACAACTATTTCATTTCATTTGCTGTACAGGTCCAGTGGTTTATAAATAAATCAATCATATTAACTGGAAACGTTGATGATAGTATTATTGGAATAATAGCTACTGTATTCCTGTTTCCCCTGTTTTATTGGTGTTACTTAAATGCCCTGAAGTAGGCACCAAAGATTATTCATAATAATACTCCTGGCATTTAATACAGTGCCTTATCATGTCTTTGTGGCGTCTCAAAGCGCTTCACAGAATATACTGTAAAGTGGATTGACTGCGTATTCCGTGGGCAGAATTATGCGTTTTACACTAAAATGATCCAGAGGAGGGTTGAAGTTATTGAACGCTCTGTTCAAGTTCAATATCTAAACCCCAAGATCTTACACAGCCCAGAAACAGGGGTTTCGAGCCAAATGCAAGGATTGATTCATTCCCCCCTTTGCACTAACTTCAGTGTTAAATACACAAGTTAGCTAGTTAGTTGGGTAGTTAGTTAGTTAGTTCGCGAGTTAGCTACCAAGTTCGCTAGCTGCTTCAGGCAGGAGGGAATATTGGTTTGTTTGTTATAGTTTTTTACGGTTTGGAAGTTGACTCAGAAACTATTGATTTGTTAGGCCTCCCCTGGCAGGACATAGACCACCTCGGCTCACTCCAAAAAGGACAAATTCTCATCATTTACAAAAGGGAAAAGGGTTCACTTCTAAACAAGAGACACACAAACCCCTAAATATACCTCCCACAAGATTAACCCAATGTTAGAAACTCTCAGACAAACAGCTTCCTCCCCAGAAGCAAAACATTATTTTCTAATTTACCCCACACTATCAAGGTGCTGCCAAGGATTATTATTACCTTTAACAACCTGAACCTTTGTAGTTGTTATTGTTAATGTCACTTCTTTTATTTTTTACCCTGAACCTGTTAAAAAAATACAAAAAGCGACAATAAAATTTGGATTTCAACTTGAACCAGTGAATCGCAGACCAAACAGCAACAGCACATTGGGGTATTGTTACAGGCGGTTAGTTTAAAGAGAGAGAGAAAAAAGGGGCAGTCAGTGCCAGAGGAATAATAATAATCCGGCATTTAATACAGCACCTTATTAGGTGTGCAAGACATCTCAAAGCACTCTCACAGAATATACTGTAAAGAGAATTGACTGTATATTTTGTGGTCGAAACACAGCAGCCGATTGTGCACAGAAGTGTCCCCACAAACAGTCGTGGGTTGAGTGACCAAATTATTGTTATTATTCACTAAATGAATAGCCACATTCAGTGATGTTTATACCACGTCAGTGATCCCTAGATCTCTGCTCACCCCACATTCCCCACAAACACAAATAGAGTGGAATCAAACCCACATGAAATGCTAATAATAATTAGTATTATTCTTATTAATCCGCATCTCACACAAGGCAATAGAAAACAAACCACATCAGCCTCAGTTGTCTTCATACACATTATACAGTAGGCAATAAACTCAGCAAAGTGTGAGGGGAAGGGAAATGTGGTCACTCACCCTCCTCACAGCCATTCAGCCAGGCAATAGCCAGCAATAGGCAACAGCCGCAATAGGCAACAGCCGCAATAGACAGGCAGAGACCCCAATGCCTGACTCTCTTCTCTTGTCTCTCCCTCAGTGTGTGACTCTGGCTCAGGAGCGGAGTGAACGAGGCTCTGTCTGTGTCTCTCTGCTGACACAGCTGAGCTGCAGTGAGTCTCGTTAGCCAGAGAGAGTGCAAGTGTGTGTGTGTGTGTGTGCACAGGTACCACTCCACCTGTCCCTGGGAGTGGTATTGTCCAGCGTGCGCTTGGGGGGCTTTCTCTGTCTGTGTGTGTGTGTGTGTGTGTGTGTATCTGGGGGGAAGGAAGAAGAGGAGAAATCTTGCAATGGTTGGGGAGAATGCTGTGTCTGACAGTTTATAACATGAGGGAAATCCTGTGGAGGGATATTTAAGGGTTGTGTCTCTTGTTGAGAACTAGTGGCCTATTTTTCCCCATTCTGTAAATGATGAGGATCGGCCCTTTTTGTATCTGTTTTGAGGCATTATTATTAATGATCCTTGCACTTTGATATAATAATGATCCACCTTATCAGAGCTTCGAGACGTCTCAATGCGCTTCACAGAATATACTGTAAAGCAAATTGACTGTATTTTTGTGGGCAAAACACAGCAGCCAATTGTGCACCGCAGTGTCCCACAAACAGTCAGGGATTGAGTGATCAAATCAGTATTATTTCTCAATTGATTTGAGACATCTTGAAGACATGTTAAGGCACTGCATCAAACGTAAGAATCATTATTATTATAAAAGGTCCAATCCAAATACGCAGCAAGCCTTTAACTAGTTTAGTTAGCATTTCAACTATTTTTAACGGAGTGGATTTAGCTGTTTTATGAACGATTTGTTGAAAAATCATAAACGTTGGACACGAAGATTTTACTNAAAAAATTGGTTTAACAAGTAGATATGTACATGATAAGACATAAGGCGCTGTGGTAAATATCAAATGCAAGGATTATTATGCACATTTGTACAACAGTTTCGCCCACAAAATAGTCAATTCACTTTACAGTATATCCTGTGAAGCGCTTTGAGACGTCTCGACGACGTGATGAGGCTCTGTATCAAATACAAGGATTATTATTAACCACCACCACCAACAACAACAACAACAAGATTGCATTTATAGAGCGCCTTTCACGTCGGGAGGACGTCCCAAGGTGCTGGACAGTTGGGTCGGGACCCGAGCAGTGGGGAAATGGTCAGGGTGAGGGGAGGGAAGGGAGGGAGCGAGGAGGGGGGAAATGGTGAGGGGAGGGAAGGGAGGGGGTGAGGAGGGGGGAAATGGTGAGGGGAGGGAAGGGAGGGGGTGAGGATGGGGTAGAGAGTCGAGAGTGGAGCTGAAGGCTGAAGGTCAAAGAGAAAGGTCTTGAGACCGGCCTTGAAGGAGGAAAGGGAGGAAGCGGCGAAGGCACTGGGGATAGAGTTCCAGAGCCTCGGGGCTGAAGGCCACCGATGGTAGGGCGGTTGGGGCGGGGGACGTGGAGCAGACCGGAGCCAGAGGAACGGAGGGTACGGGCAGGTAGGTAAGGGGATAGTAGGTCGGAGAGGTAGGAGGGAGCGAGGCCGTGAATGGCCTTGTAGGTGAGGATGAGGATCTTGAATTCGATCCTCTGGGGGATGGGGAGCCAGTAGAGGCGAGCGAGGGCGAGGGTGAGGGCAAGGACGAGGGTGGGAGTGATGTGGTCGCGGTGTCTGGTGTGGGACAGTACACGAGCTGCAGAGTTCTGAATGACCTGCAGTGTGGAGGGAGGTGGCGGGAAGGCCGGCGAGGAGAGAGTTCCCATAGTCCGGCCTTGAGGTGATAAAGGTGTGGACCAGAGTTTCAGCCGTGTGAGGGGTGAGGTAGTGCCGTAGTCTGGCGATGTTCCGGAGGTGATGGAAGGCGGTGCCAGTTGTGGAGCGGATATGAGGGAGAAAGGACAGCTCAGGGTCGAACAGAACCCCGAGGTTCCTGATGGCTTTGAGAGGTGGAGAGTGCGGAGCTGATGGTGTCAGCGCCTGAGGTGCGGAGGCGCTGACGTGAGCCAATCAGGAGGGCCTCGGTTTTACGCACGTTGAGCTAAAGTTGTCTCTCGTCCAGGACTCGATGACGGACAGGCAGCTGTCAGGACATCGGGGGTCGTGGAGTTGAGGGTAGAGGAGGAAAGGTAGAGTTGGGTGTCATCCGCATACATGTGGGAGTTAACCCCATGTCTGCGGATGATGTCACCAAGGGGGAGCATATAGAGGGTGAAGAGGAGGGGACCGAGGACAGAGCCCTGAGGGACACCACACGAGACAGTGCGGGGGGTGGAGGAGAAGCCATTCGTGGAAACAAAGTGAAGTGAAGAGTGGGAGAGGTACGACCTAAACCACTCAAGGACAGGGCCTTGAAGGTTGAGGTGGGAGGACAAGCGGTGGAGGAGGATAGAGTGGTCGACCGTATCGAATGCTGCCGATAGGTCGAGGAGGACGAGGAGGCAGAGGGAGCCCTGGTCACAGATGGTCAAGATGTCAACCAGTTTATAATGTTCTGCTGAACAGTACAACAGCATCCTCTGTTGACCAATTTAAGACATAACATACCATCAAATTGCACTTCTGCTTATTTTATTGTCTTTCTCTATAAATTTGTTTAATAGAATAATAATCCTTACATTTGGTGTAGCATCAGGACATCTCTAAGCAGGATATACTGTAGAGTGTAGTGACTGTTTTGCTGGTTTAGGTTTTGTAATCTTCCTTCATTGCCCAATGAGATCCTCAGGATAGCTGGTGCTTAATATTAATCCTTGCATTGGAATCAGCGCCTTTTCACGGCTTCGAGACATCTCAAAGCGTTTCAAGGAATATACTGTGAAGTAAATTGACTATATTTTGTGGGCGAAACATGGCAGCCAATTGCGCACAGCAGCGTCCCACAAACAGTCGTAGATTGAGTGACCAAATTACTATTTTTTTGAAGGTATTATTACCACCGGAAAGTGATCCGCCAATCGACTAACATCCTGGTTTCTATTTACCACTAAGTAAACAGAAGTGTATGGAGTAAGGAAACTTGCCTACGGTTTTGCCCGCCTGGGAATCGAATCCAGGTCGTCTTGCTTGTGAGGCGAGGGCTCTAACCATTAAGCTACAGGACTCTACTGCATCAGCTGAAATATTTTTAATTGCTCCACTGCTTTCAACTTTAAGTTGTGGATCAAAGCTTTCTCTTGGCAAAATGACCTGTTTCAGCGCATTCCAGAGGAGCTATCAGATACATTCCTAGATATTTTGAGCAACCATGTAGATCTGAATGCTTTTAGGTTCAAAGAAATACACAAAACAGTTTAATTTACCTTTACATTTATTGCTTAATTACACTTTTAATATAGTATATTTTCCATCAAAAAAATACTGCAATTGAACTGTCAATACCAGAAAGTTCGTTACAAAATAGGTGTGGTAAACAGCAAACTGCAGCAATCCATAACTATCTGTATTAAATAACATTGCTGACTATAGACAGTTACTTAATTCTTCAGATATTAGGGTAGTCAACCAAAAATAGAGGATGAAATTTATTGTCTATTTGCTCAACCTGCTTATTCCAAAACTTCTAAATCTGAAAAAAGGCACTTGACATAGTCTCCTTCTGGCAAATATGTAGCATTTTTAATTGAATTTCTATACAAGTTCTCCAAAAATACTGCTTATACCAGAAATTAATACAAAGATGTTAGTTTTTGAAAAATAACAATCCTTACATCTGATACAGCGCCTTATCACGTCTTTGCGACGTCTCAAAGCGCTTCACAGAATATACCGTAAAGTGTAGTGACTGTACATTTCGGGGTGAAATACGGCAGCCAATTGCGCACAGCAATGTCACACAAACAGTAGTGAATTATTCTTTTTGAAGGAATTATTATTATTAGCCCCATAAATTAGTCAGATAAAAGAACGCCAAAATATTAGCTGATGAAACAGCTTGCACTAAGACAACCGATTAACAATGTGAGGCTGAGATTCCGTTACTTTTCTGAGGGGATAAAATGAGGGTTAATCTTAATGGGCAAAAAACAAAAAGCTGATCCAGACCTGATCCCCCTGGTAAAACAGTAAGTATATTCATCTCAACATTTACATCAATATTTCTGTTCAAACTGTTGTCCTTTTTCCTTGCATACTCACGCACTCTTTGTTAAGTGTTTACTGGGAGAAATGTTTGCCGTTTGAATTCTTCCTGAACAACTAAGAATCTGGAAAACAGACATCTATTCCAAAATATTATCCCAATTCAAATAAAGAACAACAATCTTTCACTCAAATTAACCTGAGATCCTGCTCCACATTTCCTCTCAGATCAGCTGTACATTTACCTGAATCCAGCTGCGCAGTATAGGTTGACAAACTCTGATTGTTAAAAGTTTTAATCCAACTATTTTAGCGCAATGGTACTTTTCATACAAGGTTTAAGTTAATTTTAGATGAATAGAAATGGACTAATCTAATGAACAAGCCTGTGTTAACAGAACATTGACACGCTGAGTGTTTTTATTTGTTAAACGTGTTGAAATCGGCAAACAAGGTTATATTGGCGTTGCAGCAATGAAAGAATTATTGCCTTTTCCATCAGAATAAACAGCTTGAATGAGTCCAGGCACTGCTCCTTGCTCCATCAGAAGGTCGCACGAAGTCTCTTATTCTCTTCTCGCAATCGCTCGTTCTCTGCTACCAATGCTTCATTTACAGAGTATCTCTCCAGCAAACCATGGATCTCATTCTACAAGTACAGCAACAACACGACATTTACACAGAGCCTTTCACATCGGGCGGACGTCCCAAGGCGCTGGACAGTCAGGGGTTTGGACCCGAGCTGGGGGTTGGGATCAGGAGGGCGGGGAGGATGGGGGTAGGAGGGTGACCGAAGGTGCGGTCGAAGAAGAGGGTATTGAGACCGGCCTTGAAAGAGATAAGGGAGTGAGCGAGGCGAAGGGACTGAGGGATGGTGTTGCAGAGGGCAGGGGCAGAAAAGCTGAAGGCTCGACTGCTGAGGGTGGGGTGGGCGGGGGAGGGGAGCAGGTATGATAAAGCGCTTTACCAAATACAAGGATTATTATTGTATGATCTGAAGTGCATAGTTCTGATTGTTCATTTACCTGTTGGATTTGGAATTGTTTGATCATCTCCAGTTGCAGATTCACCACATCTCGATGCCAGGCGTCTCTGGTAATATTTAAAAGTTCAGATTTTCAGTATTATATATTATTGTAAAGTACATTCAAAATGTCAAAATGTTTTGAAGCAAAGCTGGAGCATTCTCGACATCATTTCTAACGTTAAATTGTTCTAAATTCATCCCTTTTTCTCTCTAAACCTCTGGCCTGTTCCACGTCCCCCGCCCGGCCCACCCCACCATCAGTGGCTGGGCCTTCAGCCTCTGCCCCCACCCTCTGGAACTGCACCCCAGTCCCTCCGTCTCACCCCCTTGAAGGCCCGTCTTAAGACCCTCCTCTTTCACCGCACCTTCGATCACCCTCCTAACCCCACCCTCCCTGCCCTCTACCCCTCCTGAACCCAACCCCCAGCTCGGGTCCAAATCCTGACTGTCCAGCTCCTTGGGATGTCCTCCTGACGTGAAAGGTTTTGTGTAAATGTAACTGTTGTGGTAAAGTACGGAGCTTCATATTTCTAAAATGCCACAAAAGTACAATTCCATCTCCTTGAATATAATCTTTTAAAAAAAACATTTTTGGCATTAAAATTCCTTACCTGTAATCCTCCAAGGTATCTTCTATCATATTCTTAATTAATTGGATTTGAACCGATGTTAATTGAGGTCCTGACCCATCGCTCCCCAAAGTATTGACAATTTGCTCAGATACGGTCAGTACTTCTGGCACAGCTGAATTTGTCACCCGCACACCTGCAACAATCAACACACAAATAACTGCAGCTCCAAACACTTCTAGAAGTTCTTTAGAATTCTATTCTACTTGCTGATGACTAAAAGCAGAATACAATTTCACATGCCCTGGTACAGCGTAGTTTGGATGAATGAGCTTTAATCTTTTAATAATAATAATAACAATCCTGGTATTTGATATAGCCCTTCTCACATCTTCGAGACGTCTCTCAATGATCGACATGGGATACAAACAGTCATGGGTTTCCACATTTCCTTACGCCAGGCTGTCAAAAAAAAAAGCTTGGTTGTAAATGTTAATGGCTTACCAGCTATAGGCACGTCGTTCAGTGGGGAGTTCTGAGGCTGCTGGATCTCTCTTCCCTTTCTTTCACACACATCAGGTGTTTTTATCAAAGAGGATGTTAATGGGATTCTCAAGACCCCAGAATCGATATTGGAAGAATTGATCTTGGCCAAGAAATTGACATCTTTATTAGGAAACTAGAAAATTATTTCAAACATAAATAGCATTTAATTCAGGAAACCTTTAAAGGATTGAAGTAGGACATCAAAATTAAAATTTAAAATCAAACATATTCACTGAAGTTTGGATCAACTATACCAACATTACCTAGTTATAATAATAATAATCCTTGCATTTGATACAGCTCCTTATCACATCACGAGACATCTCAAAGTGCTTCACAGGATATACTGTAAAGTGAATCGACTGTATATATTTTTAATGAAACGCGGCAGCCAATTGCTCACAGCAGCGTCGCACAAACAGTCGTGGATTGAGTGACCAAATTATTCTTATTGAAGGGATTAAACTATCCCCGGAAACACAATCCACCAATCGACTAACAACCGGGTTCTATTTACTGCTAGTGAGCAGAGGCGTGTGGGGGTAAGGAAACTTGGCTATGGTTTCGCCTTGCTAGGAATAGAACCTGGATCCTCTCACTTGCGAGGAGAGTGCTCTAGCCACTGAGCTACAGGACTCCACTTTACTAAAAATCAATCCTGTGCAAACTCCACGATGAAAGTGTTGATGTCTCTGTTAGAATATAATTACCTGTCGGCCTGATTCTTTCGAGTCGGGTTTTGCTACGTGGATTTTGTTAGCTGTTGCTGTTGTAGTCAGCTCGTGAGTTTCATCCTGCTCCTTAATTGGAGGAGATATTAAGAGTCGCAAATCGATACTGTTCAGACGTGTTTTTGTACTGGCACCGACAGGATTCCTTCTCGTTGAAAACATACTGTTAAAATGGGGTAAAAACTCCAAACCTGAGAAAGGAAATGCATTTTGAGTCATTTGATAATAATAATGCTTGTATTTGATACAGCACCTCATCACGTTGTTGACATGTCTCAAAGCGCTGCACAGGATACATTGTAAAGTGAATTGATTTGTGTATTTTGTGGGCAAAATGCGGCAGCCAATTGCGCACAGCAGCGCCCCACAAACAGTCGTGAATTGAGTGACCAAATTATTGTTATTATTTATTTTTGTGAAGGGATTATTAGGCCTGGAAAATCAATCCGCCAATCAACTAACACCCAGGTTCCTATTTACTGCTCGGTAAACAGAGGTATGCGGAGTAAGGAAATTTGACAAAGGTTTGGTCCTGTCCAGGAATCAAACCCAGGTCCTCTCACTTGCGAGGCGAGTGCTCTAACCACAGAGCTACAGGACTCCCATAACATATTATGTCAAAACATGTGTCCTCAGGAACTAACTTGAGGACGTTTAATACAGAAGCTACCTGACTTTCGTGGCTGGAATCAGACCCAGGTGCCAGTTGCATGAGGACAACTCCTTACTTGATATTTCTGTTTGTAAGTTAGGCAAATCCATTACTATTGATAGGATTCAACACATCATACCATCTCCTCTCCCCACGCTGTCTTCACTTAGTGCTGATGCTGTCGTATCTACAAACCAGAATTCATAACAATAAATAATAATTCATGAACAATAAATAGATAACAATAATCCTTGCATTTGATACAGTGCCTTATCACATCGAGACGTCTCAAAGCGCTTCACAGGATACACTGTTAAGTGAATTGACTGTATATTTTGTGGGCGAAACATATATATATATATATACATCCAGAGAAAATGTGGAAAATGGCACATTTAAAATACACAACACAAAAGTACAGTTCAAAGTAATCTGAAATCAACTTACCATCTCTGACTGGTGAGAATATATCTCCAAAACTGTTTCTACCCACGGATTCATAGATTTTAGAACTGCCACTATTATCTGCTGTTTTGATATTTTCTGTGTCTTTGGAAGGAATGATGTCGAGACTGGTACTGTGCTGTAATCCTGTGAAATAAAGTACAAATTGCAAAAGGTGAATTTTAGCTAAAAAAAAATTTTTCAATGTACAAATCAACAGATTCCACTGACAGCCCACCCCCACCAGATCGTTTTCTGGGTTAATAATCCCCCCCAAAAAAACATGGTCACTCAATCCACGACTGTTTGTGGGACACTGTGCGCAATTGGCTGCCATGTTTCGCCCACAAAATATAGTCAATTAATTGTACCATAGATTCTGTGAAGCGCTTTGAGACGTCACCATGACGACCAAATTGTACTTATTCTTTTTGAAGGGATTATTATCCCCAGAACAGCGACCCACCAATCGACTAACAATCGGGTTCCTACTGACTTCTAGGAGTAAGCAAACTTGCCTACGGTTTCCCTATGGTTCTATTCTGAACCATAACCTAATACTCTAGTTAGACAGTTCTACCTGTTTCTTCTGGATTTCCTGCAGCTCCTTTGTCTTCCGCAGCAACAGAAGGTCTGACATCTGGAGTGCTCAACTGCCCAGTGACGGTCGGGATATCTTTTACATTGTTACTGCACGCAGCTCCACTGTTCATTTTAACTGACGTCCTCTTACCAGCTGCGTGGGACAGTGCAGTTGAAGATTTATTAGCCGAACCTTTTAAAGCATTTGACTGGAAGACAAAGAACAAGCTTGTTAGAACCCAGCGAGTTCAGCAGCTGTCGGTGCAAGGCTGATGTATTTACACAAGTTTCCACTACAGAGATTGTTAAAGATTAAATCATGTTAATATTGTTTTGCTATCTATAGCTCCAAACCGAGCTGCACCTTAGCTTTCCCACTGTTTGAATGTAAAACCAATGCATAGGTCTGGTTATCTACGGGAGGGGGGAAGAGCATAAAAACAATTGATCAAAACTTGCCTTAACTGGTTGGGTGGTCCCAGAGCAATGAGGTTTGAAAATTAACACTCAGCTCCTGGTAACCCTGCAGGCCAAAGCCCGAGCTGGACAAGCAGCAGGAAAGCTTGGCCAGACAGTGATATCAATGGCAAGCTGTGTGGGTTTAGCGGGTTTAGCAGTTACCCCAACACACACGCTGGGATCCCCCCCAGCCTTGGCTCTTGGCTGCATCTCTCCAGAAAGAGAGAGAGCACATTCCATTCCAACAATCTCTCTCTGGGATTTCCATGTGTGGGGGACGCATGGAAACCTCAGCTTGGTTTGGAGACTCTTAACCATGGTGATGGGTTTCCACATGTCAGACATGACCAAAAAAAGACACGTCACAGATCACTACAGTCAAGTGTAGGTAAACGTGGCACCCGACTGTCTGCTAAGTCCACACATGTGGCTGCCACTGGTACCGCAAATTACCACAAACTGTCATAAAGTGAATCATCAATTAATCGGGAGAATTGTTGGTGAGGACACAGAGAGCTTAGCTTCCCTTCAAATGTTTGAATAGCGTCATGGAATTTTAACATCTACAATAACTCGCATTTATTTATATAGCTCTCTATACAAGTGTAATCTTGTTGTTGTTGTCGTAGCTCTCCTCAGGCAGGGCAGCGTCCCAGAGCGCTTAACAGTGGCGGAGCACAAAGTTTTCAACCACCTCATCTCCTGGCTTTACACTGAGCTGGAATGTAATCAAATCCCTGTAACCAAAGAGCCCGACACAAACTCACAGTCATGGCTCTCACTTGTGAAACCCTGCAGCCCCACAAGGTATAAACGAGTATCTGTGCAAATATATCAAGTAAAGAGAGGAAATTAGCCGCTAATTAACTTTGACATGCATAATGTTTCATCACAATCACTCCATGGAGGTCACCAACACATTCACTGCTCCCACTGCCAATATCATGATTGACAATGCTGTTTGGGATTGAGAGGTTATCAATGATAGTTTCACCCACGATATACAGTCAATTCACTTTACAGTATATTCTGTGAAGCGATTTGAGACATCTCAAAGACGTGATAAGGCGTTGTATCAAATGCCAGGATTATTATCATAGTATAATCTTCAGTGATATTTTAATCTTTTCATTGACTGGCCTATTGGATTCACCCAGAAACTCTGGAACTTTCTCCCCCAATCCCTCCACCTTGCCCCCCACCCCTCCCCACTTTCAAATCCTGCCTAATGTATTTAATAATTGTTTTCCAATAATAACTCGTTTATTGACTAGAATGAGTGAGTAAAAAAACATACATTTTAACCATTACTTAGTAAATAACAAATGAGTTTGATAATGGAATCTGAATATAGTCGACTTACCTTAAACTGTGCTGAGCTTTGCTGAAATTTTAAGCATTGGACTGGTTTTCTGTGGGCAGTGACAATTTTTAGTGGTGAGGTGGCCAATCGTAAATCATAGATATAAATTTTCCCCCTGATTGTTCCTACAGCCAAAGTCGCTCCATCAGTCATAAAGTCTATAGCGGTCAAAGGAGATTCAACATAAATATTCCGCAAGATCCTACGCAAAAACAAAATTTAATCAAATGTCAAATAAATGCATAAAAATGAGCTAAAAGGATTAGATTACAATAACCTACTGAACTGTTTTTGTTGTACGTGTCGTTTCACCCACAAAATACACAAACGCTACACTTTACAGTATATCCTGTGAAGCGCTTTGAGACGTCTCGAAGATGTGACAGGACGCTACATCAAATCCCAGGATTATTATTATTATATCACTCTTTAACGTTTGCTCTAACCAAAAGTGTGGTTACAGTAAACCATTGAGAAAACATTTCAATAACTATAAGATTTTAGTGCTTCACTTAAGAATTAAATCGCAATCGACTGACAAACATTAGAAAATAGACTCACATCTTGCTGGACGTATCGTAGCAGATGATCTTTTTATCCAAGCCAACAGTGGCAAAGAGCAAGTCATTTACTGGTGAGAAACAGAGCCTGGATGCTGGTGCGCTGTGGGCACTTTTGAAGGAATGGTAAGGGACTTGTGTGTTCACATCCCAGAGAGTGACAGTGCCTGTATCGTGCACACTTCCCAGTAAGGATTTCCTATAATTTGAATACTTTAGGTCCTGTACAGGCTGAAAGACAAAATAGACATTGTGTAAAGGGCAATGAACTGAGATTGAGTCAGAGTTATAACAAATAATAATAACTGCATTTGATATGGCGCCTTATCACATCTTTAAGATGCTTCAAAGCGCTTCACAGAATATACTGTAAAGTAAATTGATTGTATATTTGTGGGCAAAACGCGGCAGCCAATTACACACAGCAGCGTCCCACAAACAGTCATGGATTGAGTGAACAAATTATTATTATTTATTTTTGAAGGAATTAATTATAATTATATAACAAGAGCTATACCATGTTTTAAGAAACATCTGAGTTAATATTGTACAACATACATTTAGAATCATGTAAACAATATAATTGTCAGAGGCACCTCATTGTGGTTTGGATCGGTTTGTACGGTGCCTTCTGGTTGCAAATTTAAAAGTGATTCAATATTAGCAGATTGACAGATAATAATAATCCTTGTATTTGATATAGCGCCTTATCACATTTTCGACACGTCTCAAAGCGCTTCACAGAATATACTGTAAAGTGAATCGACTTATTTTGTGGGTGAAACGGACATTTTACACTATTAGTTTTAAACCTTTCACTGTTAACAGCAAAATGATTAAAGCAACGTTTACTTGGGATTATAAAACAGTGTTTGAACTTGGGGTTAATAATTCATTATTTTTTTGTCAAAATATAAGTTAAACTTAGACCGACAACAGATCCATGTTGGTGGGTTTGCCCATAACAGATTGTGGATTTTTAGATCATGTACAATTACAGCTAAAAACAATTCTATGAAAACAATCTCAATTTAAGAACTTGCTAAGAATTTGCTGACGAAAGAAGACCCAGGTCTGTCCAGTTGGCCTTCCACCACCCTGGCCGTCATTTGACACGTCATGTCTCAAACTATATACTGTATCCCCAGATATCGTTTTCCAACAGAAATCTATCATTGATTTCAAAGATTGTTGTAAAAAGGCAGTAGATACCTCAGCATTTCCGTGGCCAAACGGAGCACTGGAAATATTGGTTGTGATACTATGTAAAATGATATCACCACTGTGAGAGCCTGAAGCGATGTAATTGTCATTCCAGTTGAAAGCTACACAACTCACTACATCTTTGTGATCCTGAAATACAGAGAGCATTCATTAGCACAAAATTGACCACAGACCACATTTCACTTTATTCATGTATTTAATTTTTATCTCCCTCAAATATTAAGTTCCCAAACAATGAGGATATAACATGACACAGTAAAGAAATGCATTGCTGAACACAATACCTTTAAATTTCGATGCAGTCTCTTGGATTTTATATCCCAGATATTTACTGTGTTATCAAGGCCTCCGCTCACAACAGACTTGGAAGTAGAATTCAGACTTATACACGTCTGTTTTTTCTGTAGAAGTAACGAAAAAAAAATCCATAAAATGTTTCTGCTGAAAAAAGAAAAATGTCAACTGTGCATCTGTAGATTAATGACAGAACTAACTTCTGACTTCAAAACAACGCTCAGTGATTCAAGTTCATTTACACACATTATACATAAAATGTTCTAATATTAAAAACAATATGGTTGGATCCAGTCACATTGTCCAGACTGAGGGGGAGATGTTTGTCAGGTCCGGGGATCAGTGGAAACGGGGCAAAGGCGGGTAATTGGAGTTGACGTACAGATCAACCATGATCTTATAGAATGACGGGACACGCTCGAGGGGCTGAATGGACTCCTCCTGTTTCCATATTCCCAATGTGATCGTCATACAAGAATAAAAGAAAATACCTACCTCCTCCGCAAGATTTTTGAAAGGAATCGGGGTGGACTTGCAGGACGTTAGGGCTATTTTATCACCACTGGATGAGGCACTAACCAGATACTGATGTGAAGCAATAGTTAAGGTAACTGAAAAACTGAAAAACCAAGCAAGTTATTCCTCTTTGTTTACCCAGCTACAATATAGTACAAACACCTAATTATAACAAACCTGTCACTTTCTCACATTAGATTTAATAAAATAATGCTAATGAATACTTTAAATCAGCCTCAAAAGTT